TTAATGTTTTCTGGAAGAAACATGCAAATTACCTCATTCTTAAACATTCCCTAGAGGCCATTATTATTTTTTTATCCCATTCCCAAGTATTACTCACAAAGTGGAAAGGGATGACCAATTTCTTAAAATGCTTTTGACGCTCTTTGGTGTTTATAATATATATTATAACATTAGCTGAAGGCCAGGTATATTTACACCAAGTTATTTCTATTTCTCTGGCTTTACCCATTCTTCTGCATCTTTTTGTTATTGTTGTTTTAAACATGGATATCATTTTAACTCAATTTTGGAACCAACTATGACATCTTTAAAGAACCAATTGAATTCCCATTTGGTGGCCACTTGAGTCGTTTTCCTCATGTCTGCTATCTCTGTGCTGCCCTCTTTTTGGCAGTGTGTTCTGAAGCCCTGTTTGCTTAGCTCCAGTTCTGCTGCTCCACTTATTTCAGGACATTCAGCATCTTAGCCTCTTAGAAGTTAGGAGATGGTTCTATGTCTTCTCTGCAAGGACTGGGATCCTGACAATCACAGTCCTGAGTCTCAGTTTCCATAACATTGAATTATGAGCCTGTGGGGTAGGAGATGCTAGGGACAGTGAGCCTGGACACCCTCTCCCATCTGTCCTGCCCCGTGGCTCAGGGCTTCCTGTACTGGACTTTTTTCTACTGATGACTGAACATATCTGCTGAGTCTGGCCAAATCTCAATGCCAGTATCCAGCATGCACCATCTCTCTTGGACTTGTTCCATCTTTTGCCAATTTGAAATCTGAGCTACTGAATCTGCTTATTTTTATCTTTTATTTTCTGGGTAAAAGTCATGGCGTTCAAACCAGTGAAATCCTTGAAAAGACTGTTAAAAATAATTGATCAAAAAGCAAAATTGCATCTTGGTGCTGGAATGTGTAATGCCACAGAATTATTTTTATTTCAGGATGACTTACATATAACCTTGAATTTTAAGTTTAGTAGAACAGGCAATGTATTTGTTTAGAGGGAAGGGCCATTAAAGTCGACTGCTTCCCCCCCCCCCACTTCTTGTTTGAATTGGATAAAACTGTAATATATCCTTTACGTCACAGTAGCACCCTAGTGGTTATCATATTGCATTAGTTACATGAGTTTTTGGGAACATTATACAGTATATACTGCCTCTAGTAAATACACCAGTCATGCTTATGGTCACACAGTCAGCGCCAGGAAATTTAGGATGACATTCCCTGCAGGTTAGTAATTCTACCCATTATTTATATTGGTTTGATTTGAAACTAGATGAAGCTAAGTATTTTTGAAGACTTTTCTGACAGAATTCTAGAAAAACCAGAGAATGAATATTTAAAATGAGTTAAATATATTTGGATTATTATTTTTTGAGGTCATCTAAATCTTGTCATAATGTCAAATCATTGAGAAAGTGAGAGGACTTGTTTTGAACATAAGGTATAGATCTGTTTTATCCACTAATTGAAACCTCTTGTAAAAAAAATTTATTTGGGGTGTACACTGAAGGCTCACTCCAGGGAAACAAAATGATCCCAGTTCTTTTAAAAAATGGATTAAATATTAGTAATGAGGCTGTGACAGAGGAGCTGAAACAGATGTGGAAATTGTGGAACATCATCTTGGCAGTTGAAGTGGCCTTACCAGCTGGATGTCTTCTGAAAGTGGGAATTTATCATGTTTAAGCCGCAATACAGAAGTTAGTACTTGAAGATGGTTGTCATAACAGTGCAAGATTTTGATGCAAACATTAGATGATTGTAATAAACTTACCCAACGATGTCTGGACTGTCATAACGAATTAAGAACAGATTATTTTAAGATTCTAAAATAGCATTTAATTCTAAGAACAGTAGAATATTTCATGCCTTCTAACTTATTCACCTTGGGGAGGAACAGATATAAAAGGCTGATTACTAAGATTACCCTCAAGTCCTACCTTTCTGCTTTGTTCAATAATCTATGCTCACCTTCTCACTATGAGAGGGTCCCTTTACCTTATGTCCAAAAAAGGCAATACAAACACAGAGAATAAGCAAAGCCTCCCAGATTTGTTTTGATTTCTAATCAGTTTTGGTATGTTAGATGTCTAGAAGGGCTTATAGGAGCTCCTAATTTGTAAAAGGGTCACTATTTAGTTCACTAGATTTGAGTATTAGTTAAACGAAATACTGGGACACTCCAGGGATATCAAGTTTCCTTTCCCTTCCTGTTTAAGCAGTGTGCTTCTCTACCAGTTACTAAAGTGATTTCAGGCAATGTGAATTAGTAGTTATGTGACCTCGGGCAAGCCATCTAGACCTAAAGAAGCTGGATTATTAGGGATGTCAAATAGATTTCAGTGCTCATGCATCCTTTCCTATGGTAGACTTGGGATCCTTTGGAATATTTTGGAAACTGGTCTGGCTCCATTCCATTGTGGAATCAGTAGAATTTAAACTTCATGATGGCAATAACTTTTGTCATGAAGATGCTCTGTAGCATCTGTTGAATGAATGAATGTCTGTCTACTGAATCAAGTAGAAGAGACCCTTAGAAAATCTCTTGGCTTGAGAATCTCAGATGATGAAGCTAAGCAAAAACTAAAAGTCAGTTTCCTGCTTTAGGGAGCAAATCCATTGATATCTATTTATGTGTGCATTCAAGTATTCGATGTGCTAAAATGACTCCTTACACCATAGATCTCTATTTTGCTTTCCAAGAATAACTTTTGGATGATTACAGATGTTAACTCTAATATTTTCCCTTGCTTCAAAAGATTATCTCTGACAGATTCTTGCCCTTAAGGCCATGGGGACTTAGAAGAGAAAATTTCAATTAATAAAAAAAAAATGGCATCACACAATTGTTGTGAGAAATAACTAACACAAATTTTGAAAAGATATTATTTTTTTTGAGATGAGAATCACACTATGTTGCCCAGGCTGGTCTGAAAACCCTGGGCTCAAGTGATTCTCCTGCCTCAGTCTTGAGAGCACTGAGATTACAGGTGCATACCACTATGCAAGGCTACGAGAAATTCTTAAACATTTTATAGAAATTATTGTGTCATTAGTTTTTGGATTGTCACAATACAACTCATCGTTTGTACTATTGGATTCCATTCAATTTAATCCTAATTCAGTGAGGATGAAATGAATACCGACCTCAAACCTCGCTGTGTTGAATGTAGTTGGGCTAAAAAAATATAAAAGTGATTAGGGTAAGTCATTTGATTACTCTTTTATTAGGGTTTCTTTTCTAAATATGTTTGTGTTGACTTTACATGTTGGCATTAAATTGTATTAACCCAATATAGAAATTATTTTTTGCTTTTCTTTTTTTTTGTGAGAAAAAAGGGTTCTGTAAATACATAAATTCAGAAAATAACATGAAGTATATATTGATATATCTCATAAATAATTAAAATTTCTGAATAAAATCTGCAATACATAAGTCCTGTCATCCTACCACAAAAATATGTAACGTTACTGGAAATCAATGTATTTTCTCTGGGTAGATGTTCCAAATAATTTTTTTTAAATGAAGTCTAATAATTCAAGGAATAAAAATAAGCAACAGTGACTTATTTTGCAGAAGAACTTGCTGAGAATTCCTTTTGTTCCATGCTGAAGAGGTGTTTCTTGCTTTTCGCTTTGGTCAACATTAGTAAAGTTCATTATAGTAGATTTAATTTTTGTCAGTCATCATCCAAGTCTCCATCCAGATACATTCAAAAAATCACTTAAAAAAATAGTGCACACTTCTATGCAGTTACAATTTTCAACCAAATTCAAACCTTTTGGCGTTGGATTAACATATTATGTTTGGGTTCACGTTCGTTTGTGCTTGGCAGAATTCAACTTCCTGTTGAAGGGGGAGCGGCTAAGAACCTCTAGTTTTAAAAAGAGCTAAAAACCTCGAGTTTTAAAAAAAGACTCACAAGGCTTTTGAATGTCAAATGGCTCTTACAGAAAAATATTTGATGAGTTAAGTGTAAAAGAACAAGAAACATATGGATTAAATTTCACTGAAAATGCACATGGACTTAAAAATTAAGGGAGAATGTACTTGGCAAAATGTGGTTTTGGTTTTGCCAAATCCAAAGTTTGAGAATAGATTAAGACATTGTACAAACCCAAACCATACCTGGCTTTAACCATCTGCTAGCCTGCAGTCTACAAAAGCTTGTTGATGAGGCCTTACCTTTCTAAGAGTGCTGAAGACACCTGCATTTTCCCTGTGGCATCTTCTGGGGACTCTAAGCCAGTTAGATTGATGAGTTTGCTTATAGTTCCATACTTTAGCAGTTTGTTGTGATAGAATTTCCAAGTGTAGAATTTCACAAATGAATAAACTGACCCAAGACTTAATCATATTAATTCAATGGATGTTATATTTAAATGTGTAAATGAAATGTTTATAAAATTACAAATTATTTTTATAAATGGTATATTTTTAATATAAGATTGAAAATTTGAATACTACTATATTTAAATATCTTACTGTGTAACAGTAGAAATTTGTTATGTTAATTATGTACCTTGGCATATTATACACCTCCATTTTCTAACCTACCAGAACATCCTTTCTGTTTTTCCCTTCTGATACCTTGCATTTCCATCTCCTATTATGATTTATCTTACGTTCATACCTACTATCTCCTCTGACAATTATAACTCATTTTGTGCTGGGTGCCATGGTGCATACTTATAATCTCAGCAGCTTGGGAGGTTGAGGAGGAAGATCATGAGTTCAAAGCCAGCCTCAGCAAAAGTGAGGTGCTAAGCAACTCAGTGAGATCCTATATCTAAATAAATCACAAAATAGGGCTGGGGATGTGGCTCAGCTGTAAAATGCCCTGGGTTGAATCCCCACCACCAAAAAAACAAAAACAAAACAAAACAAACAAACAAACAAAAAACCACCTTATTTTGTGAAGAATTTCTGTCTGATTTGTGTTTTTACTTGTGAAATATATCCAGGCTAGTATGTCTAAGCAAATAACCTCAAATGAAAGCTGTTACATGAATAGATAAATGTTTTAATAAATATTTTAATAGACAGTCTTTTAGAATGAACTATTATACCATCTTGTCTGGGACTATCTCTTCTAAACATCTTGTATTTGATAAATAGCATAATTTTACATTTGATAAAAACTACCTTTTTCCTACTCTGATCAAGAACAGGCTTATATACATTCTTAACACCTCAACTTCAGTAAAATAAATATATGTCTAAAAGCTGTATAGGAGGTCTAGAATAAATAATGTACACAGTTTAGCTTGCCCTTTTCCCTCTCTCACTCTTCAAAGATAATGCAGCAGTACATTGGTATTCTCCTTAATTAGAACTCCCCTGAAGTACATGTGCGCTCCCACAGTTGACAAAGCTCTAAATAAATGAGCACCACTTCTCTGTGCAAGCAGAGGTATGATGTGTCTACATTTTAATTATATACATATTCAAAAGCTCCAAGTCTCTCTGTAGTACTATCCACATTTCATGCTGGAGACACTTGGCCAGGACTCCATTCATGTGTCCTACAGGGTTACATATGATGTGGCTCTTCTCCCACTGGGTTACACAGGATATGAGCTGGGTCCTGGCGGCTTCTGAAACAAGAATGAGAGAAGCTCTTGTGAAGTGAATTTAAAGAGAGAGAGGAAAAAACCTCTCCCTGGCACTGAAGTCATTGGAAGTTTGGCATGTCTAACTGGGAGTAGACCTTGGCTCACAGAACTGAGAGATAGCTAAACAAAGATTTGTTCAATTTGATAAACTCCCTGGCTGAGACTGTCTTGCCAACTTTCTTTCTAGAGCAACTTTTCACAGCTGAATTATAAAACCTTGAAAATCAAGGGTTCGTAATGGAAATGCTGACAGATCCAACTAACGTAAAGTTATACCAACCAAGCATCACTATCATATTTTATAACTGTTTGAGAAGTTTGTAGAAAGGAATGGCGCATTTGCTTCATGGAATCCATTTCCTTTGCTAAAAACTACCAAATGTCCCTATGGTAGGCTCTTTCACACTTTAAACTGTCTTGATACCACATTTTTATGAATAGAAATGTTAAAAAACTACTAACTTCCTTTGAGGCTCAAAATCAACTGTTTTCTCATTCCATATTCTGGATCTGAATTGGATAAAAGAAAATTCAGGCCCTGCCATTGATGTCTTAGTATTCATTAGATATGTTTTTGGAAAAGTGTTTTACATTTTAAAATTTTTTCCAAAGGGATATTTATAGAGATGAACTTCTTTGTGATTATTGAGCAAATGAAAAAAAAAATCATTCTATTATCAAAATGTCCATTGTGGTCCAGTAAGTGAAAGATATTTTCAGTGCAAACAACCTGCATTTTAAGGGCAGCATGATCTCTATATAGACATGTAAATACAAAGTTGCATTTTTAGCTCTTTTGAATTCATATTCCTCATCAATCCATAAATTTTATTTAGCTGGCCATGTTTCATGCATAATCAAATTGAATTTCATCAAAAATCATGGTTAAAGACCACAGGAATAATTAGGAAATAATTACTCACAGAAATAACAGGCTACAGTGTAACTTATTCCTCTGCAATAGCTGAGAGTTGACACTTGGATTTCTGAGAACAACAAGAGGGTTTAACTATAATTTAAGTGCTATAAAAATCTGATGGGTGTAATTTACTCTAATATTCATGAATGGGAAGTGATTACTCTAGGGCAAAGGAAGGGGAAAAAAACCAGCTGGTTGGTCAAACATGTGTCTTTTGTTTTTTCATTTTGCATAAAGGTCTTTACTTGGTATGTGGGTTCCTTAGCAGAAAGGAGAAGTTACAGTTAACAAATTAATGAAAACCAAGTGATGCCTTTGAAGAATTCTTAAGTGAACCTTAACCAATGCCTTGGGCTACATGTTCAATGTGAACAAAAAAATTAAGGTGAACTGGCCACTGCTACTAAGAGTCAATTGACAGAATGCATGGGTCATTAATTTTGTGTCCTTTGTTTTGTCAGTGTGTTTTTGTGAGGCCTGGTAAAGAAAGTAAAACCACTGATGCTGAAAATTGTCTGCTCTGTAGCTCATTTCCCCTCCTAGCATGCACTGACCCAAGGGAGTGGGCTTCAGGTCGCCTGCCCCCATTTCCCTTCCAAATACTCCTGGCTCCAGCAAGTTTGAGAATAGCTCCATGGCATTGGTGTTGTGAGTAATTCTTTGCAAGTTTGTGCTTAATCATATGCAGAACCTAAGTACCATTAAAAATTAGATGTCTGCTCACAGTGTTTTCTTGAATTTTGAAAGTAAATTCTGAAACAGGATTTGCAACCTCAGTTCCCTTCAATTATTGGAAGGGAGAGTGTGAAATTTAAATTAGTTGGTTCACCTTAATTCTTTGTCCTTTCATTACCAGGAATTCCAGAGAGCCACCTTCTGGCTTTTTGTACCATGAATGAGTGATCTAACTAAAGTGCCCATAATGCTGGTATGCTGTGCGAGGGCTCTTTTGGGGCTTTAAAGTATGTTCTAAGTCATTGTACCAAAATGTTAGTATATAGCATCAATTCCATAATTCCATATCAATACAATCCAGACTGTATCACATTTTATTACCACATAACTTCATTTAAAAGCAGGTTTTTAAGAACCAAGGTTTTAAAAAGCTGGTTGCCATAATAGGCTCGACTTTCTGTTCTCAGAAATGCTGTTCTAGTCCTCAAAGTGGAAAGGGCACAGATTGGTCTGAATTAGAGTAGCTGTACCTCTGCATTGTACAGGGAGCCAAGGAAGATTTTCAAATCTTAGGCAAACAATATTTGTAGGTTTTATTGATTGAACTGTTCATAATAGTCCAGAAATCATAGAACTGTGTGTTATTTTACAGTTTTGTGTCCTTTCCTTTGCAGTGACACTAGGTAGTGCCACTAGATATTGGGTACAGGGATGATTTGGATGCAGTCAGAAATGGGTTTGTGTTATAGTAGTGTCTTTCCAATTTTTATAAGTAGTTCTTATTCCTTATTTTGATGTGGTAGCCAGTTAGGTGTTTTTCATCCATCCATCCATTCATTCATTCACTAATCCAGGAACTCTGCCAAGTACATGGTCCATGCTAGGTAAACAAAGGGACATGGATTCATTCCTAGCCTAAGAAATCTCAGATTCCTGGGCTCTCAGACCTTTAAATAAGTAAGATGCATTGTAGAATATGCTGGAAGATAGGGCATTTGGGAGAGAGGGGAAGCCTGGAGCCCCGCTTACAAATGAGTCAGTGAATGGAAAATTGAATGTACTCTGTTAGTTTACTAGTGCTCTCCTAACAAAGTACCAGACTAGATGGATTCAGCAGTGAAAAGAAGTTCAAGATCAAGGTGTTGGTAGGCTTTGTAGCTCCTAAAGCCTCTCTCCTTGGCTGGATGATCACTCCCCTCTCTTTTGTGCCCTCTCATGTTGTCATTCCCCTATGCATGCATGCCCATGGTGTCTGTGTGTGTCCCAAATACCTCTTCTTATAAGGACACTAGTCAGATTGGGTTTTGGCCTATCCTAATGGCATCATTTTAACTAACCACTTTTAAAAATTCTTATCTCCAAATACATTCATATTCTGTGGTTGGGCATTAGGGCATTAAAGTGTCAATTTTGGAAGGACATAATTTAGCTTATAACTTCTGAAAAGGGAGATGAATGGAGAAATGTCAAACGGACAGGAGACAAAAGGGTATTTGCAGAATAATGTCTAGAAATGCGTCCATGAACATCTTGTGCTATGTGTAGAAAGTTAAATTAAGAATTTGTGCAATACAAAAAGAGGGGTAGATTTAACAGATTTTTATTTGATTTGATGATTACGCATTTATGCAAATAACTGAAATAGGTTTTGCTGGGCAAGGACCCAAAGAAGTAGTTAGAAAGGTCGTTGAGAACCACCAAATTGCCAAATTTCTATGTTTTCATCAGAGGGTCTGAATTCAGGCTACAGATTATAATTACCTCCTTAGAATCAGATTAATGGATTTAGAGTGATTTCCCCAGATAATACCCAATGCAATTCTAGTGATGTTATATATAGTTTAAATTTTGTTAAAAATCCAAAATGTGGGCTGGGGTTATGGCTCAAGGGTAGAGCAGTTGCCTACCATGCATGAGGCACTGGGTTTGATCCTCAGCACCACATAAAAATAAAATGAAGATATTGTGTCCATCTATAACTAAAGAATAAATATTTTTTTAAAAATCCAAAATGCACACATAATATTAAAATAGTAGCTGATATGTTACTTTTACACAGTCTTAGTATTATCATAAGCGCTTATACATATCATCTCATTTAATCTTCACAAGGGTCCACAAAGTAGGCATTATAATAATTCTCATTATAGAGATGAAGAAATTGAGCAGCTAGCTAGTGATGCAACTGGGTGGAAGTCAACAAGCTTCTGACCCCTAAATTCCAGTTTAACTGAATTTAACAAAGTAATTTGGAGAAAAGCACTTTTTGTAAAGACCCAATTTTAGTGTTCAAAGATTCAACTTAAATGTAGGTCAGAGAAGTCTTAATTTTAAAAATTTCTCAATATCAAAACTAGTGAGAGTGCTTATTGCCTACATTGCTGAAATTTTTAGAAATCATTTAAAGAAATAAACTTAAAATATTTTATATTACATTAAAGTATCTGTCAATTCCCAAATAAATAAAGTAGGTATATGGTCAGCTCTTTTTTCCCCCTACAAGGATCTCTTTAATCAGTAGAGCATTGTCAGAGAAATGGACATGGACTCCCCAATATTATTTGTACATCCTGGAGTTGGCACATTAACAATCAAAGAACCTGTTCATTTTCTATCATGCAAAGACATGATGGCTTATTCAAAGAACAACAGAAATAAGGAGCAAATGTGAGGGTTGAAGAAATACATGAGAGGTCCATATACTTTGCCTTGATTTATTAAATGAAATTGTTTGATTAACTTTTGGAGATATGATAGGATTTAACTCATGCCAAAGAGTGATAGTCTTGTGTGCTGGATTTTAGCAAATTGATCCCGACAGCTGTGGTTTGGGATGTAAGTGTGGACTGAGCTTCTTCCCTTAGACATCAGGCATCATGTATGGGATCCAGGGCTTGGGAAGGATGTACAAATGTAGTCCTCCTGTCTCAGATTGCCAGCCACTTTCCTGGTCCAATTTTGTATTTATGTAGCTTTCAATATGTTCTTTAAAAGGGTGAAATAACTTGTTCAATTGCCTTCATGATCTATCATAGAAAAAACTAATTTGTTTATCTGATAATGCTTTTAGAAAAATAGTTCTAATTAACTTTTTTTTTTCCAATTAGGCTCAAAACCTTCCCCTAATGATACACATTACTTTTGGAACATATCATATTTTAATAGCATGCTTGCTTATTATGTATAAATCAGAATCAGGGTCAATATCTGAGAATGTTCCACTTACTCCAAAGAGAAATGTTCTCTTTTATTTGGAAAAAAAAGTCTTGGCAGACAAGCGGGGAACTACCAGATGGAGGAGGCTGTGCCACATGGATTATAAGTTTTTCCCTCTCTTCTTATTGATGTCTTAAGTTGAACATGTTCCATCTGTCCACTCTCAATAATGAATAGCGACTTTTTTACTGTAAAGGTAACAAATTCCATATAGGGTAAATGAATTCAAGCATATAATGAAATGTGCAAGACTCAACACTCTGTACTGTGTAGATGTTGAGGATTATGTGGGCAAGTGTGGAAATCCAATACAATTTCTGGAGCAGCGCATATTTTTACATGGGGAGGGCATTAGAAAAATTCTCTCTCAGGGCCTCAATTTTATTCTCTAAGGATTAAAACTATGGATAATGGTTTGTATGAATTGTTTGAATCTGATTAATTTTTAAAAATTTATTAGTTCTAGGAAAACAATCATTTAAAACTCATTTTCTAATGCCTAGAGTAAAATATTCCTTATGATGTTAGTAAATAATTAAAGAACACTAAGTCACCTTGGTTAAATGCTACTATCTAAATCCAGCTTGACAAATATGTAGATACTGTTTTAAATCTTCTTCATTCATAACTTTGGCCTTTTTGAAGCTCAGTCCTCTGGTTTGAAATTTTCTTCCTATCTTGTGGCAAGGACAGTGGCATTTCTACATTTAACACTAGTATGGCTATTCTGTGCTTTTCATTAATCACATCAATATTTTATTATTGATGCTATTATTATTAATGCCAAAATTTTGTGATGATAAGTATTATTTGAGTTTTGAATATTTTAAATAATTTTGGTGGGACTAAGTCTTTATTCTGTCTCTTGTTAAATAGGTACCCAAAACACTTCCAATGGAAAACCAATAAAGGAGTCCTATGATTCTTTTATTGTTTAAGCAGGATTAAAATTCAAGCAGCTGTTTGGCCTGGTTGCTAGATATATTTTAAAGCCTTGTTTTTTCTATTTTTTATTTTTGTGAGGGGATAGGGTTGTTATATGTATCAACTGTTTGTGGCAATGAGCTTTGAAATGCTAACTCCTTAAATAGATTAAGATGCTTAGATTTTTTTTATTCTACTTTGTTATATATGACAGCAGAATGCCTTACAATTCATATTACACATATATTAGTTTTAAGTTTTGATGTGACAGTCTTATTTTTCTGTGACTGGATTTGGTTTTTTGGTTCTTCTTCCATCTGGAGTTGGAAGTTACTCTTTATTTGCTTACAGATAATTGAAGCCAACCAAACTTGTTAAAGTCAAAACCAACAACACCATGCTTTATTACACGCCTATGAGTTTAGTCACAGACTCTAGTAGGTTCTGCAAATGGCACAATTTATGCAGTGGCATGTCAGAAACTCAATGCTGTAATTTTCCTCTTCCTAATGGAGAATTAAGAATCTAAAAGGGCCTGAGCTGTTCACATGGACCGAATCCCCACGGCTTGGGTGCAGAGGTCTTGCAAAAATTTAGTAAGTGAGAAGGAGAACAAAGATTCTTAGTTGGAGGGGAAAAAAATTAGATCGCCTGTGGCTGAGAAGCTGAGGGGGACAGGTAGGCACAGTGGGGTGCAGGATAATGAGGCACATGGCAAATCTGATGCACAGATGTTAAGCCAACTGTAGCTCCGGCTCCCAAAGTTGTGCATGCCACAGCACCATGCCTCAGGGCTATGTCTACACCAGAACATTTGGAGCAGTAAACGACGGCAACATTAGGTTCAAATTAATCTATTACTCCAGAGCTGTGAAATGTTGGTTGCTTGTTTCAGAATTACATTGCCTGTGGGTGAAATGTTTTAGGTAGATTTTAATGCATGCTCATGACTTGCTGAGGAGATTAAGAGGAGAAAGGGAAATTAGAACAGTTAGGAGAGTTGTGGAGGGGCACATTTCTGGTTAAAGTATATGAAAAAGTATTACATATTTCACTGGCAGGTCTGGTCTCCTGTTGGCCACCTGCTGGGCTTGAAATATCCCACATCATAATGAAGGCAGGTTTGCAGAAGCCTTGTAAATACTTGAGCCCTGCAATTGAAGAAGGCAGACAAAGGCGGCTTTGGGGTCTCCTGGAGACTTTTGAGGGTTAGGTCTGTCAGGCGGGTGCTCCAAATGAATTTGGTAATTTATTATTCTGCACTTGTTAAGTGGAACATGTAAAATTTTGCATTTAGGTTTTTACCCTCATGAGTTTAAGGAAACTCCTGAGTAACAGGTAGCCTTGTGACATTTCAGAGTGTATTTCAAAGTCATCTTGACCTCCTCCCTCTGTCTATGTCATTTCCCTGATATCGACAGGTCTATTTTCACAAACCTGTGTGGTTTTTCAACCCTCTATTTTCCCAAACTGGAAAAACTAAACCTTGAATTAACCTGTATTTTTGTTTTGCTTTGTTTTGTCAATTGAATAGTTTATTCAGTCAGGTGAGGGGAAGAAACCTGTTTGGAAGTATCTATAAAGAAAAAAGTTTTTTTTTTTACAATATTGTAAGTTTTTCTTATAAAAACACTTAATTGAAATGCCTAAGAGCTGCCCAGTACAAAAGTCAATAAAAACCCTAGAATAGAGTTTATAGGGGTTGTCTATGTACATAATTAAATCCTTCAGGCACTTTAAAACTCTGCAAAATAAATGGTTATGCAAGAATAGCCTGCTGAGAGAAGAAATGCTTGTATCAGCTTTAACCAGCAGCCCTGTGTTCCATGTTTCTGGGTTGGAATGAGAAAGCTATTAGGACACTGGAAGACTGCAAGCCACATACAAATCATCTTTGTTACTGACACTTGGGGGAGTACTTTATAGTGGCTGTCAAGTCCAATACAAAACATGGTTTGTGCCTGAAAAAGTCAAGTGCCATTATTTAAGAAGAAGATGCTAGCTATCCAAATAACTGAACAACATCCAGGATCTTCATTGAGTTTAGCTGCTACAGAAGCAGATTTATTATTGGGTCTGACTTAAGCAAATTAACATGTAGGTTTTGCATTCTAGATTTGATGGAATAACAAAGGTTAATTACTTGCAATGATCTATGTGGAACAGGAGTAAAAAGGGGGAAGGACTGTATTTAGATTTCATTTCACCATTCTTTAGGGAATACTATTTGAAGAGATGGGATTATTATGGGGTGCGGTGGGGTGGGGTGGGGGCAAAGGAAAGAGTGCTAAGGAAAAGGGGGTGGGAGGGAAGAAAGAAAGAAAGAAAGCAGTCTAATGAATGTAACCAATAGAAAAAAAAATTGTAGGTTTGTTTCTCTCCCTGGCCCTCAAAGTTATGATAAATGATAGCACGAGGAAAAGATAACCTACCATGAGAGTAGGATCACCAAGGCCAAATACTAAAACTCCCAGCAGACTGGCCCATACACTGCAGCCTCTGTTCGTGTTTATTTTTTCTGCTCACTCTTGGTTTCGTCAATCAGTATGATAGACGATAAGTCCTGACTAGAGCAGCCCGCGTCCTGCTCTCTCACGGTGGGTAGCATGTTGTGGTTGGCGCCGTGCAGTCGGAGGATCGCCCGCATCAGGAGCACCAAGGGGATGAGGCTCGGAGCAGTCTTCCAGCAGCCGGCTCCTTGGAGAATTGCAAGCAGGAGCGTTATCAGCCGAGAGTGGAGTTGCCAAGAAACTGACCACACATTAGTAGCTTTGTTTGGGTACAGTCTAAGGGGGCTGTAGCTCACAGACTTGAGACACTCTCTGTTAAATCATCCCTGGTTTTAAGTGTTAAAAGAAAAGCTTGTTCAAAAAGAAACCATGGCTGATGGCCGCAGGCAGGCAGCCCTGTGACAAGACTCCTCCTCGGGAGTCAGGAATTTGTGGAGTTAACTGGGCTGAGGTGTAAATGGACATCAATTAAAAAAAGAAAAGAAAGAAAGAAAGAAGAAGACTCCTCTCTTGGTCTCCCATTTGTTTCTAAATAAACTCTCTCTCCCAACGTGCAAAACAGCATTAAAAATGCCTCGAGAAGAAATCTGTAAACACAATGGGAGCTTTAGTTAGCTGGTGACATATGAAACACTGCTCAGTTAGCCAACAGCTCATCAGATAAATGGAATTTCCTGCACGCTATTCACAGATCACTAATGTTTATCTGCTCTCTCAGCACTAATACTTTTTACATTTCATTCTAGGAGAAGATTTTTTTGCTTTATTTCGTGCATTGGAAACTTTTAGAAAATTTTTAGGATCACTTTTTAAATTTTTTTTTTTGAACTCGTTTTGTAGAAGCTGAGAGATAAAAAAAAAAAAAAAAAATCAAGAATGTCCTGACTTGATTCACTGAAGGAGCCAAAGTGAAATTCTTTTGATATCTTGTGATGCAACATTGGTCAAACATTTCCTGTTCAACATTTTTTTTCCCTGGGTATTAGTGGTTCCATTTTTTAAAGAACAAATGCTTCAGAGATCTGGAGTTCTCTATTTTTGTAAGAAATTTCAAATAAGTGATCTATACATCTTCTCCCAAAGCAATGCTTGATAGTAAGAGTAAACTGACAGTTCTCTTTGTATAGATAATTTCCCATTTTAGAAGTTTCATTAGTGTGTTAAGGAATGTTTCCTCTTCCTTTAAAAGATACATTCTGCAAACAAAATGAGCACTTTCTGATTTTAATTCTTTATACCTGGTCTTGTTACCTATAACTGCTGATGTATGTTAAGGTGAAACTTAACACGGGAATATTAGTTTTATTTCAGTTAATTATGTTACTAAGAGCCCATGAACCCTAAGATTTAGGGTTGGTCTGTTTCTAGTTATGCTGCCAAGGTTTTTCCTTGATGGAGGGGGTCTGTTTCATTCTATTTGGCCTCTCCACCTTTGTAACCCCTGGTTTCCTCTTTTCCTGAATCACAAGTTTACGTTCTCCCCTTCTGTGAGAAGATTGAATGCTTATTCAACTCCAAAATGACTATGGTCACAAAATATCAACAGTGATTTTTAATAGATCTTTGCCTATCAAAATATTGTTACTGAATAATAGGGTAAAGGTAGTCGTGGTTGCTGATAGGAAGGAATCTGACTATTAATAAAAAGCAGACAAGGGTCTTGAAACAGTACTTCCACTGTTGCAATTTAGACACTTTATATTACTTTATTTAGTGCAACACCTGCAGCTACTCACATTGCTGGTGGCTGAAATAATCCAGGTCCACACGGGAGAGTATTACAATTTCATTGTGCTATTTGTGCTTACTGTTTAAGCCTTTCTCACAGGAGAAAGCATTAGCTAAGTGTACAGTAGATAATAAAAAGGGGGATTTGGACTCATCTGTTCCACTTAAATCTGTCTAATAAAATCTCCCTTTGCAATTAGTATTTGACTCCTCTTCTACCCCTGTCTGGCATCTGGAAGGGGATAGTGGTACAAACTGGCATTTGTTGAAGTTCTTTTTTTTTTTTTAATTGTCCTCACATTTCATGGTTTTGTGGATCGTGCCCTCTTCTGAGCCTTGGAAACAGTATACACTTCCTAAGCTCCACTTCTGCAGATGTTATAATGGATTTCGGATGGAAGATGTTTGCCATCTCAACAGGAGAAAGAGGGTGTCTCGTTTTGGGGCAATAATAACAAGCCATTCTTCATCTTTAATTGACAACTTAATTTAGATTTCAGATAGGTTTCTTTTAGTGATGCCTTATTTTAATTTAAGCCCAAATGCTGATAATCACGCATCCAAAGACATACTCTATACAAAGTTTGAGTTAAGCAAATTTCCAATTCAGGCATAAAGATGTGGGGTAAGACTGAAACAGAGCTGGAGGTCATTTCTTCCTCATCTAAGCAGGAATAGCTCAGAGTTCAGGGGATTCATACCCTTTTGACTTTAATTGGTCTGGGCCCACTGAGGCAAAGCAATGTTGCTCTATTTGTTTGGAGGTCAAGGAAGCAATCACAGAGGCCTTCAGAATATTTTCAAACCTTTAGGGGAGATAAACAGTATTTAGACATTTTAGAATCATAAAACCAGTTTCTAGATAGTTGTCTAATTTCCTAAACTATGCTTGCTGAAGTTTATTTGGTTATTGAAACATTAAGCTTAACCAGTTGTGTTCTTTCTACTTTATGAAAATGTAGACAGGAAATTATCAGCAAATTGCTCGTTTAGAATTAAAGACAGGAAATGAACTTCAGCAGTTGAATTCTTGTAGTAAAATCTTCTACCTAAAGCATAAGCAAAGCCAGAAAACCTTGCTTTTATTTTTAAGTCTGGGCTTTGTTATATCAACACAATAGATTTAAGTACTCTGTCCTAGTTCTCCTCAAAATTTCCATATTGCTTTTTACAGTTTCTGTTACTAATTTCCTTGAAATTTTTAGAATGTAACTGGTGCTTCCATTCTTATTTGGAACAAAATGCAACTTCTTGGATTACATTAATAGATTAATGTGAGATATGATTCAGAAATAGTAACTTTGCTCATTTATTCATGAGGACACCCAAAGCCCTGGACATCTCTTTAAGTTCCCATATTATTTTATCTGAAATTCCAGAAGTTCTTATTAAAGTCTTGAATACTATATATTTTAATACATATTCCTAAATAGTTAATAGGTTCCCCTCGATGTGAACTTTTCAAGCTATTCCTTCTTGAAAGTTATTACTTAGCTTTTATTCTTTGTATGCTATATTGTTAGCATGTCCAATATATCAGTGATATCTACAAAATAATTCCTGTACTTAATTTTCTTTTATATTTTTGTGTTGCCATTTTTATTTCCCCATATATTTCAAATACTCTAATATTCTTTAAAGTTCCCCTTATTGGTATTACATTATTTAAATAAACCACAGACATAATTCTGCTCCAACAAAATGATTTGTACCATGTCTGACTATTTTGATTACCTTTAAGGAAAAATGAACTGCTTTGGATTAAACAAGAAAAGAACCTCAACTTTAGCCAAACTTTGAACCATTTACTCAACTTAGAATGAGGAAGTTAGAAAATGCTGGTTTTGTGATTAGTTTAAATTTTGCTTTTATAGCAATCCATGTGTGACACCACTTTCAGTATTTTGGAACCCATAAAGGCAAAAATCACATTTAAAAAACTATATAATACTAATCTATTATTATAGATCTTTATTCTATAGCTATTATGGTAAAGATATAACATATTCAAGTAAGATTTAAATTAGTATGAGACATTCTTGGTATTTGTTGGTATTAAAATATTATAGAATCAATAATATTAAGTTTTAGTATATGTAATTTTATAAACTTTTGTTGAATGACTGAATCGTGGATGGAAATATTCTTAGATGTTGTCCTACCACCATTTTGAAATGAAAACTTACCTTTTATTTTTACTTGTATTCTTTCATAATCAAACTGAAATTTCCTTTGCTGAAGGAAATTTTGTAGAAGATCTTATTTAAGAAAAAGCTGATTTTCTACTCTGATAATTTTTTCTGGGTCAGCTTTATGACTTATGCAAACTTTTATAACAGATCCGGGGTATATTTTAGGTAACTGTTGGAATAGTTTTCCTCCAAATTGTTTTATTTAGTCATTATTTTGTTCAGTGTTATATTTAAGGATTTGTTTGTTTGTTGTATGGTTCCTATTTGATTTTTTCTTACTTTAATTTGAAGTATATAGTAATCTTAGCTTGGATATGACCAAGTGTAAAATCATTGTGGTCATTTTAGGTAGCAGAAGATTCTAATGCTCCCTCATGTTTCACTAACTTTGTTCCTATCTCTGTGGATATAAACTAGTTTCCTAACACATAAATCTAGACATTTAATGACTATATTCTAATTAGCAAGAGATTTTACTTAAATCTCAAGTTCATGCTCAAGCTGACATTTGAAGATAATTACTGACATTTATTAACAAGAAATTTTTGAGGAAATCTTCATTCTTGCTGGAGAAAAAGATCTTAATGGTAAAGAGTAACACAGATGAAGTTAAGTGCCAATATAGAAAACTTTGGGATGAATTTTAAGAGACATAAATCTTTAAAAATATGGTGAGCTATAATTAGAACTTTAAAGTTAGCTGATTATAGTTACTCTAGATTTTTGCTTGGGTGGTCAATGTGTGCACCGATGCTTGGAGAGAGCACTTTTAATTTATAATGGACATTGTTTTGTTCACTAAAATAGCATGTTTATTTAACAACCAATAGGTGCCAAATGGGTGTACTTTTTGATGATAGGGACTCAAGAGACAGATTCCTGCCCTCGGGAAGCTTACATTCTAGTGAGGAGAGACAGATGGTGTGTCAATAGAGAAAGATTACTTCATAAGGCAAGTGCTAGGAAGTTAATGCAACAGTGTTAGGGAGAGTGAGGAATCAAGAGTGATCTGGGGCTGGGGCATAACCCAATGGTAGAGTTCTTCCCTAGCATGCCACAAGGTCCTGGATTCAATCCCCAACACAGAGGGGAAAATGATTGATAAAGTGATCACTTAAAATACCTACTTTTATAGTTCACACTACAGTGAGTCTCACAATCTTTATGTAGTTCAAATCCATTAGTACCTATTTAGGCAAAAGCTCTGAATCTTAGCTTGATGGTAAAGTGAAAAATTCAGTATTAGTTATTTTAAAGATGTTCTGTTTTTAACTTCTTACATTTTTAATGTGATCAGTCTGGAGAAATGTTCTCATGGGGCTAATCCTGACTCTTAATGATAATTTGATGTATCATAATCAATTCTACAAAAAATTATTTTCCCCTATTAACATGTCATCCTCATGGATATTATGTTACTTACTGAAGTCTTGAAGCATTTGGTTCTATGTTTCATCTACTCAAACCTAATTCAGGAAGAGCTTCATCCAGATGTTTTGTTTATTTGTTCCTCAATTACATGTATGAGATTTCAGAATTTATGAGATCACAGGTCAAGTGAAAGGTCACAGTTGAGAGGTCAAGTAAGAAGCTAAAACTTGCAAAACCAAAGAAATGACAGGACAGTTCCAAATGAAAGGTCAAAAGTCAAGTGACAGACTCCACATAGATGAAAGAAAATGCTGTGTTTG